GATATCCTTTGCTGTATACAGGCTATTCCTGGAGCTGTTCTGCCCCACTGCTCTTGGCATACATTCTACAAACTCCAGGACACAAAAAGACCTTGGTAGATAACTTTTAGGGTAAGAACTGCTGGTCATTGCTGTAGCATGGGGATTCTCATTGACTGAAAAGCTTATCCTGTTCTGACAGTGTTTGGCACCACAAGAGGGAAGCAAAGTTAAATCTAATTAAAGGGCAACTTGGGCAACGCTTGCCCAGGAGCACACAGGGCAGCAGGTAGCTGGAGTAAGAATGACATCTCCACGGACCCTGGTAGAGAATGCATCTAGTCATCAGCACCTGAAAGCACAGTTTGTAAACGCAGATGAGCCACAGCTAAAGTCCCCAAGCACTATGGATTAAGAGCTGCATGGATAGAAGACTGAAGAGAGAGGGCAGAGTCCTGTTCTTGGACATAGCTCCAGGCACCGTGATGTCAGAGAGACTCTGACCAAACACAGAGGTCAGAGCATGGCTATCCTAAGTAATAAATAAGATAGAGATCCTGCCATAGATCTTGGCTTTGACTTCAAGGGAAGCTGATTACAAGATGAAGACCAGAGAAAGCTTAGGAGAATGAGGAACCTCAACCTTGATTCTCCACAGTGTAAAAGGACTGCATGTGCCTTCCTACCTGGAGAGGGGATTCCCACTGAAGTCTGCGATCTCCAAGGATTTGCAGAATTTGATGCTTTCAGGAATTTCTGGAATGTCTGGAAAAATATGTAAAAGAAAAAAAAGAAGCTTGAGAAGAGCCTATCAAATGGAAAAATGGGACAACAGGCACTGGTGACAGCCTGACACACAGTAAGACAACCAAAATTTCACAGCTCAGGACCCACTCTGGGTGGGAGATCACTCTGGGGGATGGTGAAAGGATAATGCCTACTCCAGAACAGAAGTGCACAGAGTAGTACACTGAGTAGAACTACTGTACTGAGAGAAGCAGGGCACTGGGGCCCAAGCACAGGTGCTCCACTCCCTATTTAGCTTTGACCTTACCATTACGGGAGATATCCAGTTCCACCAGCTGCATGAAGTTGGCAACCTCAGGGGGAAGTCTCTGGATTTCATTGTCACTCAGGCCCAGCTTGCGCAGGTTCAGAAGCCTAAAGAAAGGCTAGGATGGGAAGAGAACAAAACTGGGTCAGCAGCAGTTCCATGGAAAACCTATCTTCTCACCTCAGAGCAAATCTGAACATCCATCCTTGGAGTCAACTGCCTTCTCTCATAACCTCTGTCCTGCTGAGGTCCTCAAAGTGCAACTACTGAACAGATGAGAACCCCACTTACGGTCTACAGGAAAGGAGGGTAAAAGGAGAAAGGCATGTAGTGAGTTTAGCTTGATGATTCATTTAACACCTCCATTATCCTACTGACTTTCTTCATTCCTCGTAGGATGCAAAACAGAAGTTCCCTGGAGCAGAGAATGCACCTGCTTCCCTACA